GAAGGTAGAACTGGTATACCGTTCCCTAACATAGACCGCATATGAACAGATGAACAGTTGTACTGTTTTAAGGCCAGGGTACTTACAGTTTCTGACCATATCAGCTGACCACTTTGTGTGTGTCCACCTCTACCTACAGTAAATGAATCTAAATTGTAACAGCTCATTCAGAGGTCAGCCCATGCTGGCTAAATACCCACTTACTGCAGAATAGGAGCAGACAGGAGATTTAACTGACTTGTGCTAGATCCTCTTCTCCCCATTGCCCTCCTCCCTCCCTCTAACTTCTAAATGGTATTGTTGTTCACATGTGTGCGCCCTGCCAGTCACTGAGTGGAACTGGGTAGTCTTGCCTGTTAGTCCCATCTTTCAGAACATGTTTGAGCTAGGGCTAGGATGTTCTAGAAAATCGTTTTCCTGCATGCATTGAACCATCTTTTGTGGATATCAGGATGTTCCAGCCCTTGTTCCTGGGCTGTTCCATGTGCCTCCCAGGGTAATGTGAGGGATAGGCAGTGCTCTTTGGGGACAGCTTGCTGTAACCCACTGTGCCCCTCTATTCCCTATTAGGGAATTGGGTAGGCAGGGCTACAGGTTCACTTCCTGTCAGCCCCTGAGCATCTCCTCCCAAGGTAATGACCTCCCCATGCTTCGTGCTCTGATCTACTTGCATCTTTTAATAAGTAGGTGAGAAATTGCAGGTGTTGAGCACAGAGGCAGCTCATATAAACATTGAGTGGGTAATTGTGCAAGACAGGCCTGCAGGATGGATGGAAGCAGAGGGTGCACTTGACCTGGAGGTTCCTGCCGTTGCCTGGAAACTGAGCTTTCGTGGGTAAATGTGCCGGGGGGCTGCTTCCACCACAGAGAAGGCTGGAACTGGCCTGCTGCCTGGGTAAAGGGTTATTGCCTGATTTCTCCTCCTGCTCACAGAAGTAGCACTAGGCATGTGCCAGGCAGAGGTTTTATTGGAGCAAGGACTGTTGTTATTTTCATTGTGCCTCAGTTTCCTCATCTGCACAGAGAGATTCCAACCCCAGGTCACGCAGCAAGTTACTGACAGCTGTAGAATCCCAAGTGTCCTATGGCCTCCTCACTAGGCCAGGTTGCCTTCCTGCTAGAGATCTGACCTCTTTTCCCCCAGGCCATCCAGTGGTGTAGAAAGGTGCCTGGGCTCCTGTCCCCTGAGGAGTAACAGGTGGGCTGTGGGCTAGCTATTGCTGCTCTCTATGTCCAAACTGATTTCTTGTGTCTCCTCTAGCACCCAACAGATGTGGACTACAGGGTCATGGCAACCTTCACGGAGTTCTACACCACCTTGCTGGGCTTTGTCAACTTTCGCCTCTACCAGTCTCTCAACCTACACTACCCTCCAAAGGTGAGGTAGCTGAGGCTCTTGAGGGGCTTGCCAGGCTGTCCCCCTGGAGCCAGGGGAAAGCTGGTCCTCACTTCTGGCCTGGTCATTCTATTCTGCTGGAAGGGATGACCTGCGCTTGCTTCAGATCTTGGTCTCTTTCCTTCTCCTTGGCTTTGTAGCATTGAGGAAGCAGCCTTCCCTTGCTTGCATTTCACCCAGTGGTGGCCCTTTCTGGCTGGGGAAGGGAAGAGCCAGAATGGGTTCAGGAGCTGTTGCTGGATTTGGGAAAATGAGGGCTCTGTGTCCATCTTCACTGTTCCCTCTTTTTAGATTGAAGGCCAGGCGGAGGTGGAGCTGAAGCCCAAGGAAGGGGAGGCCTATGCCCTGAACTCTGAGAGCTACATGGAGGTGAGAGGCCCTGCAATCCTATGAGTAGGGACCTACCAAAATCACGATTCCACATTTTTTGTGGAAAATGCAAAAAATGGCAGGCTCCATGAGCCTGGCAGATTCGCTAAAAAAAAAAAACTTACTGGCAAGCAAAAAAAGGGTGAGAAGACCTGCAGTCTTTGAGCATGAAGGGTGGGGGAACTGCTGCAAACAGCTGCCCTGGGGTCCATGGAGCCCTGACCCGGCTCCTTACCTGTGGTAGGTGCACATGCCTAACAAGCTTGGGGCTCCATGAATTCCAGTGCAGCTGCTTACATCCTGCCACAGCTGGCTTGGGCTCTGGCCTGGCCCCTGCCACCACCCATGGAGCCTGGGCTGGCTGTGGTGGGGAGGTTGCAAATGGCAGCACCGGGGTACAGGGAGCCCTGGCCTGCCTCACTGCTGGCAGCAGGTGCATACACGCCTCCAGGCAGATGGCAGGGAAGGGGCTGGAGCTGCACTGCACCTGCTGCTGGCAGCAAGCTAGGCCAGGTCTCTGTAGACCCGGTGCAGCCACTTGCAGCATCCTGGCTGCCTGCCACAGCTGGCCTAGGACCCCAGTGCAGCTGCTTGCAGCCTCCCTGCCTGGGGATGGTTAATTACCTTGATTAAGCCCAGGGAAGCCATTAATAACACATGGATTAAAGGCTTCCCCAAGCTTAATCAGGATAATTAAGCTGTGGTTTCAACCCCTCTGTCAATCTGCAGGGAGGGGTGTGACTGCCAGGGCCCCTTGGCCAATTAGAGCCATGAGGGAGGTTGCCTTGGTCATCCCACAGAAAGACTGGCTGGCTGCCTCCTTTAGTTCTGAAGACCCCTACTTATGAGAACTATGTCTGGAATCTCCTGGCCCCCTGGAACTGAAAGTAGCCACCCTAGCATCCAGAACACAGGCCCTTCCCTAGGGCTTCCAGCACTACTCATGTGCTGCACTGTCTCTTGTTCCATTTCCTTAATTGGGTACTCCCAGGGGTGACTTGCAGGTGCTGCTCATACTGTTGGCCGCTCCAGTCCCTCTGGATGGGCTGAGGTAGGCTTCTGAGCTCTGTTCCCTGATGCATTCTGGGGTAATTTAGTTCATCCTGGGCAAGGAAACCGTAATTTAGAAAGAAGCCCCTCCACTCTCAGTGCCACACACCTGATTGTGAGTGCATTGTATATTTGGGGTGGGGTTTCAAAGCATTTTGTAAAGCAGGACCTCCAGTGGCAGCCAGTACAGGAGTACCTTTCGATTTATAGGATCTTAACCCTCCCTCTGAGAACTGCCTTATTCCTTTCTCAGAAGGACAGTCCTGTTCCCCCACCACTACCATTGCATGCACTTCCCCTGTTTCTCCCATCCATACACACACCTACCCACCAAAGCACCTGTGCAAAAGGTGAGTTTCTGTTCTCCCTTCCTGCAGAAACTCTCTGCGCTGAGCGCCAGCCTGGTCCGGGTGGTTGCCCCAAACCCAGAGGATGAAGTGGAAATAGACGAATTCCCTGTGGATGGGGTAAGAGTTTGGGTCAGCTCAGATGTGTGGAACATGTTGTGGGGCCTGCATTATTTCATTTGCAGTAGTTCCCTGCAGTCCTTGAGGATTTGCAGGATGCAGCCTGGGGAGGTAAGAAGTGTATCGGACACTCTGCTCACTGCGAGTATACAGGATGATGCACCTGCTACCCAGGCTGAAGACCAAGATGAACAACAGGAGGGCATTTGCTCCACTGGCTCCTTCCTCAGATTCTGGAGAAAGTGGAGGCAGCGGGGGAGTTCTTGCAGGGAGAGGGAAAGGTGACAGCAGAAGCAACCCTCATAGCATCTTGCTTTGAACAGGAGAGTACAGAGCATGAGGAGGCAAGGAGAAAAGAACAGGAGTCACTGGAGAAGCAAAAGAAGTTGTTTGAGGGGCTGCGGTTCTTCCTAAACAGGGAGGTGCCTCGGGAGCCCCTGGCCTTCATCATCCGGTATGTACAACTTGGACACTGTCTGCTCCTGCATGCTGGTATGTGCAAGAGGTGCAGTGGTTTGTGGAGTTGGCAACTCCAGAATTAGCTGTCAAGAGGGAGGGGGGAACAGTATTAGTGATGGGGGAAGTCAGTGAGTCTGAGCAATGAGAAGTCCTTAGGGGAGCTATTTAACCATGAAAGGAGAATTATTTTGTACAGTGCAGGGGTAGGCAGTTGTTTGGGCCTGTGGGCCACATGGGAAACTTTAGGGAGCTGTTGCATGCCAGGGCAGCACCCCTCCCTCTCCTCTTTCTCCCTTCCTCCTTTCCCCACTTCCCCAACAGCTCATCAAACCTTCCTATGTGAGATGGGGCTGTGGATGGGAGCAGGAGCTGGCATGGGTGTGGGCAGCAGGTTCAGCTTCTGGCCTGCCCTTTTACCCAAGGAGGGGCTCAGGCATGTGACCTGATCCCCAGCAGTAACCTGTTGGCTGCATCCACAGCTGATACCAGCACCTGTCCTGCTTCTGGCATGCAGGGAGCTCCCATAAGCTGCAGGGATGTGCTGTAGGTACGGGATGGTTTGGGGAGGGGTAGATTGAGAGAAGCTACCCTGCCCGCAACCAGTGGTGGCGGCTGGTGCTGGGAGCTGGGCAAAAGCAGGACCCAGTAGCAGGCATGCTCAGCACTGCTGGGTCCCTCCCGACTAACCACCCAGAGCCTACATTGGAGCTGTCTTGTGGCTCCTCCCTGCTGCCACTGCCCTGCATCACCTCCAGGCCACCCTGTAGCAGCTCATGGTGGGCAGGACTGCCTCTGTCTCCCCCTCCCAACTGTCCCACATGTACAGCACATCCCCGCAGCTTACATCAGCTCCCAGCCAATGTGCTAGGCAGGCACTAGCATCAGCTGCGGATGCTGCCTGTAGGTTCCGGCTCAGGATCGGGGCATCTGTCTCATGCCAACTGCAGTCCCAAGCTGTTGCCCCAGTCCCCAGCAAGAACCTGAAAGTAGTGTCCACAGCCGATGCTGGCTTGCATCGGGCGCTGCTTCTGACACATGGGATGGGAGCTGGTGTAAATTGCAGATGGGGCCAGGACATGCCTGCCTGCCCGGCATGATGCAGCAGCCAGAGCCACTGGCTCCCCACAGACCAGATCCTCTGACTTTGTCTGCCAACCTGCAGGCCAGGTACAATTAGTTGGCTAGGCTGAATCCAGCCCATGGGCCATATTTTGTCCACCCCTGGTCTAACGCATGTGTGAAGCAGTCTTCCTAAGACTATGGTGACTGGGATTCCTAGGAACAGCTTTGAAACTCAGGTATGGATATGAAATTGGAGGAAAGTACTTTGGGCCCAGCTGACCAGGGCTTTTGTATTCCTCTTTGGCCTTGGTCACAAGGCAGCAGGAGATTTTGTGTTCTTGCTTCTCTGGGATGTCAAGGTTTGCTTGCCTTTAGCCTTGGGGAATATTGCAACCTTCAGTGACCACGATGCGCAACGAATACTAGGCCCTTGTCTGTCCCATGCTGCATTCTGTCTCTTGTCCCAAGGCTGGTTTTGATTACAGCTCGCCAGATGAATTTTTCAGGAGGTGTTCCTTTTTGGCAGGTGTTTTGGGGGTGAAGTGTCTTGGGACAAGTCCGTATGCATTGGAGCCACCTATGATGTGACAGACCCAACCATCACCCACCAGATTGTTGACCGTCCCAACCTAGAGAAGCAGGTCATTAGCAGGTGAGCGCTTTTGTCAGCTTACTGGCCTGGATGTGGTAGTATCTTCTGCATGAATGGTTAGGAGGTTCCATTGACTGTTTCCACTTGAAAGCTGGTGAAGACCCCATCCAGGTCCACTCTAGTGCTCTGAGCATTTGTGCCCTGATGTTCCACTGCCTTCAGTGCACTTTGGATTGGGCTCCAAGTGAAGACATGTGTCCCTATCTCCTTCTCTTGGAACATAGTTGCTCACTCTGCTCCATATCCTGCAGATGCCTTGAATGTGGGAAATGCAGCTGCTTTCCATCCCCCATCAAACTCCTAGTGGCTTGGCCCTCTCATTGACAATGCTCTCTATTTGTAGGTATTATCTCCAGCCACAGTGGGTGTTCGATTCAGTCAATGCCAAGATGTGCCTCCCAGTGGCTGACTACTTTCCTGGTGTATTACTGCCCCCACACCTCTCCCCCTTTGTCACAGAGAAGGATGGGGACTATATCCCACCAGAGAAGCTGAAGCTGCTGGCCTTGCAGAGGGGAGAGAACCCAGGTAATGGCAGGACCCATGCTCCAGAATCTGTCTAGAGTCCATCTAACCACCTTTCCCACCTCTTGTAGCCTCTGCCCTCTGTGCTAAGTTAATTCATCTGTGACCTCTAGTATCCCCATCTTGGGTTGCCTCTGAGTGCTGGGGAGTCTTAGCCACCTTATACTATGTTACCTTGTAACAGCAGTGTATAGATCAGGGGTAGGCAATTATTTTGAGCAGAGGGCTGTTTACTGAGTTTTGGCGAGTCATTGAGGGCTGCATGACAGGCAGCCAGGGACAGATAAATATTTATTTTCTAAATTTTTAGGGGCCCTGTGGGCCATATAGAATCGCCTGGTGTGCCACATCCGGGCTGCATTTTGCCCACCCATGATGTAGATTCATGTACTTCCCACAGAATCTGCCTTCAGTGGTAACACTGCTTCCTTGCCTTTCACAGAGGAGGAGGAGGAGGAGGAAGAGGAGGAGGGTGGTGAGGAAGATGATGAAGGCTCAGAAGAGGAAGATGACTCTGAAAAGGAAGAGGAGGAGAAACTGAAGCGAATGGAAGAGCAGAAAACCCAGGGAAAGGTATTGTGGATGGCTTTGGAGTTGGTTGAACCTTGTAGAGGGTGTCTTCATTGCTGGGAACATGTATCTTCAGCTCTTGTCTGTGCTGCCCTCATTCTTCTTTGTTACTTGATGGCCTGTTTCAGAATTCAGCTTACTGAATGTATTCTGTTCTGTGCCCTCAGTCTCAGCTCTGCATAACTCTGAGAAACACTCTTGTCTTGGGCCCAAGCTTTTCCCTGTTTGGTTTGTCTAACCAAGCTCTCTTCCTGAGTGGGGAGGGGGTGAGAGTAGAATATGGCCTCCTGCCTCTAGTATCTGAAAGGGGTAAAACAATTCAGGCTGAGGCTTGAAGCTTAGCCAGAACATTCACTGAGGGCCAGGTCCCAACCCTTAAATCCAAATTCATCCTCTTGAGTCTCATAAAGTTTATCACCCACTGAATTTTTGCATGTGCATGTTATCTTGTTGTGCTCATAAGTGAGAGATCAAGGGGGAGTGTATTATCAGCCCCACTCTGCCTTATCTGTGGAGGATACAAATTTATTATAGCTCTGGCTTGGGAAGCTTTGGTCTTTTAGCTTAGGCTATAGTCACTCATGGTTTTAGCTCTAGTTTAACAATTAGGGACTGCAAGCCAGGGAAGGGCACAGACATTGCCTGAAGAAACTTGAAGGGACCCAGAGCCACAGATCAGTGCAGTGCCAAGGCAGAGCATCTAACATTCTTGGAACCAGTGCTGGCACTGCTGGATATACGCTCCGTTTTTCCATGACTTTCTGCAGTTAAATATGTGCCTGGAATGCACAAATCATAACACTTTTGCTGTTGGTATCTGCTCAGACAGTTTCTGCCTTAATGTTAGGTGAGCTTTTTTGTGTGTGAGGCTGGGTTCCTGCCTTTCACTCCAGCTGTTTCCTAGTTCATGCTCTGCTCAGCTCATCCATGCTCAGCAGTCAGACCCTTTAGGGTAGGGCCATACTGCTGTTTGTCTTAAGGAATTTGAGCTGGGCCATCTTCATGGGGAAGGGTATGCGTCTGTCCCTGTGGACACACCTGGTATCTGTGCTGTGCCCTTCTTCCCCACTGGCCTAGTTTGCATGGAGCTTTGCATTATACTGCAGAAAGGAAACAGCTGGCTGCTTAGTTGTCTGTAGAAGGTTACTGTGTAACCCTGGGCTCATTGGGCCTCTCCTGCTCTCCTAGAAACTTGCTGTGAAGGTGACAGCAGGCACAGTGCGGCTGGAGGACAAGCAGCGACGGGTGCAAGAGGAGCAGAATGAGGAGAAGCGTCTTGCCATCATGATGATGAAGAAGAAGGAGAAATACCTCTACCAGAAAATAATGTTTGGCAAGAAACGCAAAGTCCGAGAGGTACCAGAGCCAATGTTCCCTTCCCAAGGATAGGAGTACCAGACACTCACCCCTTGGTTTCTGGAGCCAGGGCATTGAATCTTAAAACCCTCAGCCAGCTCCCACCTCCTGGAGTACACTCTGAAGAGATGAGAGTTACCCATCACCCAGATGGGAGCAGTGTACTCTAATTGGGTGGGACTGACATAACACTGGGACTGGGGGTAGTTCACAAACGACTCTTCTTTCTGCATATTGAACGTTGCAGAAAGGCTGGGCAATCTCCACCCTTTTGGTAAGGGCATAATCTCTATGTAACAAAGAGGAAGCTGAGGCATCGAGATGTTTGGCACAGGTCCACCGGCTGTGATAGGAACAGAGTTCCTGGCTCCCAGCCTCAATCAGTCCATGAGGCTGTGCTGTTTCTGGTGTATACAGAATGGAAGTGGTAGATTTATAGGTAGGAGTCACTGTACAAAGGTTGCAAAGTTAAACTTAGGCCTCCATAGCATAAGGTACTGGAGTGACTGGGGATTTCCCTGCTATATTCTTCCCCTTCTGCCCACTTAGTATTGAACTTTATTCCCCTGTGTACCTTGCTTTGTTTTGGCCCTTGTTTGGCCTCAAGGTTCTGCTGGCATGTCTGAACCCCCTGTTGTGGAGGGCTGTAGACATGCCTGTACTTCCCCACAATATCTCAGCCCCACTGTCTCCATCGGTTCCTTTTAGAGGGCAGCAGTTGACAGAGCCTTTGTACCAAGAGAAGCAGAGTTGATGAGATTATTCCCCTGATGTGGTCATGGGGTAGCCTTCTCAAGGTCTGAGAACCTCTGTCCATGGCACATACCATCCTCCACTGTCAGGCTAACCTAGAGAGTAATTTACTTGTTGCTACTTAAGTTTTCTGGACAAGCAGCAGGCTGTTCCCCACCCAGAGCAAGAGGGATGCTTGGGTCTAGGTCAGTCAACCTCAAATGCTGGAGGAACTATGGTTTGGGTCCATCTCCAGGTTTGCTACAGCAGAAGGAGCTGCCAAGAGTGTAGGGGTTGGGAGAGAGGAGACAAGTGTTTGGAGATTAATTTTGAAGAGCTTCCCATCCTTTTCTTTCCCCAACAGGCAAACAAACTCACTGAAAAGAGGAAAGCTTATGATGCCACCTTGAAACTGGGAAAGAAGAAAACCAAGAAGGCGCGACGGGAGTGATGGGGCTGCTGAGCTTCCTTGGGGGCAGAGCCAGACATTCGCAAGACTGGCCTGCCCCCTTAGCCTATTGAGGCTTGCTTTCTGGACTGTACCTCATGCTTGCTTGAGGACAGGCTGCACCCCATGTAGGCCATCAGTGCCTGTGCGAAGTTGACCCTCAGCTTTGTCTTGGGAAGGGAAAAACTGAGTTAAAGCGTATTTCTTCCTCTTCTCCCCCTCCCCCATGCCCCCCAAATCCTTCTGGGTTACTTTACAGGGAGGCTGTGATACTGTTTTGAATCTGCTTGCCAAGCTTGGATGGCATCAAGCCAAGTGGTGAGGCAGACCTTAGGTGGAGAATGTCCTCCCTAGAAAGCATTGGTTGTCTCCTACCTTCTTTTCTCTTTTTCCATTGTGCATAGCGAGAGTCCACTGTGATATGTCTTGAAAGAGAAAAGGACTTCTCATATGATGAGGGGAGAAGGGGATTTCTCCCTGACTCCTTCTCAAAGGCAGATCCAGGGCACAGGAAGGAGAAGCAGGCAGACCCTAGGTACTGCAGCAATACAATTTAAGATGGCCAAAAGGTCACCATGGAGAAGCTGAGTGGCGTATTAAATGAGAGAAGGTGTACACATCCTGCCATGAGGTTTTTTGTATACATAAAAGG